AAGCCGAGGAATCGCGCGTAGGCAAAATAGATAGTGTGCTCGTGAAATTTTCAAGACGCGCGTTAACATGAATTCTGGGACATTGTGTAAATCGCCAAGATCTTCGGGAAGAGATTTGGTCGAATTCACCCCGAATTATCGTCACAACGATACGCATCGCTCGCTCGTCTCTCCCAAGTGTTTCTTTGAATACACACAGGGCGAGAACATGGCCTCTCTTTCTCTCTCTCTCTTTCTCCCTCTCTCTTTCTCTCCGCATATCACCGGTGCGTCAGTTCTTTTCTAGGGATACGAAAATAAATCGCAAGTTTTGGAATGCCTGACCGGTTACTCAGGCCATTTAGTCATTCCTTTTATACCGGGTACTGGGTATCGCGCAGTCACGAGAACTCACCGTTGGGAACTGTCCAGATCACGAATTAGATCGTAAAAGAGAAGAACGAGTCCGCTCTTGCAGGAGCACGGAAATAAACGCGTTAAGTAATGATACAAATGCACGAAAACGGCGCACAATAACAGAGATCCCGCGGCGAGCAAAAATTCATCGGCCCACCGTGGCATTTTTTCACACGAGCTCGCGTACGAATCGTCAAAGTAACGCGTATATATAGAATATCTCGAAAGAGTTCACCCTTCCGGCTGCGAATCTTACGCAACGACCGGTGTTTTCGCGCCGCGCCGCTTTGCTAATTGCGATCAGGTCGCTCGTGCGAGATACGGATGCAGGTATAAACGAGTCAGGAGTTCAAGCGAATCAATCGCCGAAAACGTGTCAGTCTTTTCAATGATACCTCATCAATCGTGATTTTGTAACTTGATTTTTCTTAAATATTTACAAAATCTATATATAGTTTGTTTATATCTGTATGTGTTTTCCCATACACTCCTAAACCCTTTAACCGACATGGACCAAATGGTTACTCTCTAGGTTTTAATTTTTTAATAAAAGAATGTATTTTTGTTGAAACTTTAAGAAAACCTTTCATGAAAGCAATTGTTTGTTCTAAATAAATAAATATAGGCTACCATGAAACATCTAGACCCATCCCGCCTCCTCGCCCTGATTTCATCTCTTTGACACTTGGCGATAATGCTGGGTAATTTTAGCTAGGAAGATATGATCTGAAAATCTTTTGTTTCTCATTGTTCATTTATTTCTCGCTTTTATGTTGTAAGATGCCTTTCATTTTCAATAATAACAAAGAATATTGATGAGACACGATTTAGGAATCCGATATGATTTCGGTAAGCCTCCCTACGCGATTGACACGACTTATGTTGCGCAACATTCCTCGAAGATAGTACGTATCGATAATATGCCAAGGGTCAATCTAAAAGTAATAACTCGTCCAAGTAACAATCGGCCCGATATAAATATGAGATTTATATCGACCGAGTATTAAAACTTTATGGCGAAGTAAGCTCGTCCTCTCCCACCTCTCTCTCTGTCTCACTAATAAAATTTCATTCGACGGTTAATCCGCCACGGTCGACTACGAATTTCGATGGTAAACGCGCACCGCCGAGGAAACTTCATTCCTTCGCTCGCTTGTTCGTACGTGAACCGAAAGTCAAGCTCGCGGTCGACGCCGATGACGAGGATTCAATCGCCGTTCCCGTCGCAGCAGTTGTAGTTGCCCGGCATTGTGATCGCCGCATAATTCGCACGTGCGACAAGGCGTGACAGGGTGAATGGGGGTGAGTGCGGGGAAAGTGGAAGAGGCGACGCGCGTACACGCTCGGCCAGTGCGCGAAAGGACTAATCGGCTGATTTGTACGCGAGGTCACGACTCGCGCACGTAGCCAGACGTAATCAAAAACACACAAAGTGACAGGACCGAACGCAACCGTCCCGTGTCAGTTTTCTCTCTTCCTTTTCTTTCTTTCTCTCTCTCTCTCTCGTACACTGGCACACTAATCTTCGTAGTCTAGCTTAGTGATTACCCGTGATTAATTCATCGTGCGTATACGCAAATGGATTAACCGCGTGGGAATGTTTTTTACCCCTCATCCCGAGAGCTATCGTTCTATACACCGGGAAAAAAAATACCTAAGAAACAGAGAATATCTATTCGTTGGGTACTAATAATGTATTCATTTATACTAAATATATATAAAATATTTTTCAATTAATAGAATTCGCACTTTCTTGAAACTCCTTAAGAAAACTAGCTTTTCATGAAAACATTTGTTTGTTCTATTAAATAAAAGAATTTAGATTTAAGCAAATATGTTATTAATACCCACCGAGAGAGAATAAATATTTACTATTTTTTAGATATCTTTTTTCTCAGTGTAAGGCAATGCTCGCGAAATATTTATTGTGCTTGTTGTTGCTGATAATACTTCTGTTTACTAATCGTATATTAAGCCTCAAGTTAGGAAAATATAGAAGACGCAATCATGTAATGTTATTAATGGAAAGGTCTAATTAAATACGAATCCAATTTAGAAGAAGCTACACCTTTTAATTCCATAAGTATTACTCGGGTCCCTACTGTGTTACGCGAAAACGCGTGGGCGTCAAATGAGGACGAAGCCTCCCTAAAAATCCATCACACTCCACGTGCGCGCGCAGAAGGGGCACTCTCTTGCGCGGCGGCGAGACACGACGGAGAGGTCGAATAAAAAGAGCCGCTAGGTGAAACAACAGGAGAAGGAAAAAAAGAAAGGACCAGCTAGTATGTGAAAAAGGCTGCCCCCCTTCTTCCTTCAGCCTGGCCGAAAGAACGGACATGAACGGCGCTCCAATTTCTGCTGCGCTCGTCGAAGAAAGTGGCGAAGGGCGGCGCGTGAGGATACGGCCAGTACGAGGTAAAAAAGAAGCGCAAGAGAGGAATGGGGAAGGTGGCCGCGCGCGGTTGGAATAGTTAAAAATAACCCGACCGAGGATCCCCCCTGCGGTTCCTGTAAACACGAGCACGAGAGCACGAGCACGGCAAAACGACCACGGTGAGACTCGCGTGCTAGCGCGAATCGGCGATCCCGACGAGGTTTTGCGAGATAGCCGGGGCGACAAGACGCGCGGGCGGATGTCTTATTCAGGGGTGAAGCCGCGCGAGTGTCTTAGCGACCAAGATAGGGGATCGTTGTGTGTTCCATTTTACATCGCTGAGAACAATCTGGGGAACGTTTCTTCGACCGCCTGTATATAGCCTTCGCTGATATTTGAAACATCGAGTATTCGTCTCAATGTCTAATTTTAATCTAAGAGAGATTCTCGAATAACTTAATTTTACGTTTAATACGAGCTATGAAAACTACTCAGTAGAGCTATTTATTCAACGTGATCTTTCAATTGTTTCGAGCAATGTAGAATAAAAGCTTATAGAATATTTCCAACCTCATTTCTCTCTTTTTCCCTCTCCCTCTCCCTCTCTCTCTCCCTCTCTCAATACAATGGCGAAAATTAATTAGAGATGGAATTTGATTAAACTTGTGGCTGATGGGAATTCCGAACATAGCGATTATTCCGAAAAATTAACGTTATTTGCATTGTAATATAATTAAATCGTTCAATGTTAAAAAGAGACAATTCCATAAAAATATACGTGTGTGCATATTTCATCCTCTCTACTGAAAAATTCACTTTGAATAAAATATGACGAGGCTTTTAACATTAAATATTTTGCTAAAATAAATATATTTTGTCTCTCTCACGAAAGAAATGTTTGATAATCTCGAATAAAACAATCGTTTATTCAAATTTGTTAACGACATCTCTTATGGAATTACAATTTTTCAACGTCGAGTTTAATTTTAGGTTGGATTGTCGGTACTCACATGCTTCCATAGAGGTGTCCTGAGTCGATGACGGTCGCTGCGTCGTCGTCGTCGTCGTCGTCGTCGACGATGCGGACGAGTCTTCGCCGTGCGCGACGGTGACCTTGACCTGGCCCTCGGCCTCGTCACCCTGTTCACTCCTCGGCGAGCTTCGTTCGGAACTCGACCGCACCCTTACACGCTCGGCCACCTGCACATCGTCTCCGGAGAACGACCGCGACGATGACATCGGCCCGGCGACTGTCGTCGTGGTCCACTCGATGACACTACCACCACCAACTACGACCTCACCATTATCGTTCTCCGCGAGCACCAACTCCCTCCCGCTTTTATCCGCGACACCTACTACCACCCCCGCCTCCACGGTCACTCCCTCGACGTCATCTTTCTCGGACACAGTGCTTCCGGTTCGCTGAATTGCACCGAGATATGCGATGTCCCGTGTGTTCGGGATCGTGGGCGTTTTCGGGTTCGTCGTCGTCACCGCCGTTGCCGTTGTCGTCGTCGTGGTCGTTGTTCTCGAAGCGGCCTCGTTGAATAAGATATCCCGCAGAGAATTCTCTGGACGTAATACTGATTCTCCGAATTTGAAGATGGGCTCTAACAACGATGTGGAAGCCCGGGCTGCGGAGCGAACTCCATGCTCGACGGGTGGCGTCAACTCCAGCCCGCGAGGAGCTTCAAATTGATGTTCATCAACTCGACGCCATGTCTCCGGCCACAGCTCGATAAAGTTCGGGGAAGGTTGCTCTTTAAACTTGGAGCGTTTGGTGATCGGTACTCGCTTGGCCCTTCCTCTCTGCGCTGCGATCTCTTCGATCTCGCCGTCACGAGCCGATCTCGGAGGATCTCGATGTTCGACGGGACTCGCCGCGAGGATCCATCGATTGGCCGACAATGTCCCGTTACTCGGCCGCAACGTCGACAACGCCAACGAAGGTCTCGATAACGACGGAGACGACGATGACGATGACAAAGGCAACGTCAGCAGCAGAGGCGACGTCAACGACGACAACGGCGACGCGGGCGAAGGCGACAGGCGCGTCGTCAGCGTAAGATGATCCAGAGTTCCTCGACTCGCGCTGCTGACCTCGGTCAAGCTGGCGGCGCGCTTAATCGGCCCGCGGGACAAGCGCGGCGCGAACGTACGGTCGTACGGCGATCGCGGCGGCAGGTGAACGGACGTAATGTCGGGGTGGACGTCCGAATGGGAAAGCGACGGCGGCGGCGGTGGCGACGGCGGCGACGCGGCCGTTGTCGCGCGCGTAAGATTGTCGAGGAGAGCAACAACGAGAAGAAGCAGGGGCAAGCCCACCCCCGCCCCCGTGGTGGCTCCCGCTAGCCCCTGCCGTACGATGAAAATCCGCGAGGCCGTTCAGTTCGGCGTGCACAGTCCACGATCCGCTCGCGACGATCAACTTGGTTCTCTTTCTCCTCTCCTATCTCCTGCTGCTCCTGCCGCGTGTCTCTCTCGCTGACGCGACTGATTTCGCGATCTACATGCAAGCACGCGTCCCAACAATCTCCTTTCTTCTTCTTCTCCTCCTCCTCCTCCTCCTCCTCCTCTCCAGGAACTGGTCCGTTCTCGGTGACGACGACGACGACGACGACGACGATATCGCCAGCGTTGCGTCGTCTCGCTGGTATCACCACGGCTTGCCCTTCGTGCACCACGTTCACGGCGATCGTCGTGCCACCTCGGCTACTCGCGATGCCGGCGTGCCGTTCTGGCATTTATATTATCCCGTCGCGCGTCCCAGGTGCTCGCACGTGCTCCTGTTGCGCTCGGCGTCGCGATGGGCGATGATTGCCACGTGCTCGATCGACGGCCCGGACGATACTGCCCCTGTCCGCGCGCGTTCCGCCATCATCGCGCACCCTGCGAGAAACAGCCGGCGCCGCGGCTCGCGTCCCGCCGATGCCCGCTGCATCGGCGTGTCCCGGATGCGTCGCGCGGCATCCTCCGCTTCCTCGTCCGTGTCCTCGTTGGCTAGAACATCGGTTGTGGCGCCGAGAGAGACGGTCGACCGACGACGCGACCTGCGGGGAGTCGTCGCGGACAAATCTACGTCGCGATCTGAAACAACCGTTAGGATCTCACATCATTATCGCCGGCCGCAGAGAATGATTACGCCTGCTGTTCGAAACCACACTGAGAGGAAAATATTTACTATTTGCAAGTATAATCACACACAGATATATAATTACTACAAATTATGTTAAAAAAACCATGTTTTTATTGAATTCTACTATAATGTTGGTGTGATGATAACCTTATATGCGTATTATCATTACTATTTTCGCGTTAGAAGCAAACAATATGGTCGTGACCGAAAATAACTATATTTTTGTTCGATCGACCGTGTTTTTCTCTCAGTGCACGTTCGGAGAACATTCTATCTTAACGGAGAGTACGATCTTAGCTCGTTTATTTTTTCATCTGTATTCCACACTATCATAATTCCTTAACTCTTTCGCTAACGCGTCAGTTTATTAATGAGTCGATATGCTCGTTTTCGCGCGCCCTCTTACTTGCGGCAGTCGTTTTATCCCCTGTTTGTATAATTACAGTGCCATTATCCAAGTGACACGTACGTGGCCTCTGTCGTTGGCGCGCGTGACACGAAGGCGATGTAAGCGCACGCGCTCCTAGAGACGTTAAAAGTATCGTGCGATTGTATTATCACTATATCATGTGCATATAACATGACGAGCTCTAACTGCTTTTACTCCCTCTTTCTCACGGGTACAAGTGGGTTACACATTCGCGATATCTCATTCATTAATTATCGCTCTCCGATTTTGGCACCGCGCTGTAACGCGAAAAGAAGTGCCCCACCGCTTTCTTGTGCTCTATATTTTAAGCGCTTATGCATCGTTCTCGTTCTTGTTAGCAGCAAAATAGCTTAAATAACTAATCCGGGGACATAATACAGGTAACACACACAGGTTGAGCTATCTGCATAGAGCGAAGAAATACCGAAATATACGAGCGTCTAGATGAGACAGACGGATCTAAAAATGTAACCGCAGAAATGGACGGTGGAGAGATCGAGGTTTCGCCATTGTTAAGACCGAAATTAAATATTCGTTAAAACAAAATTCGTTTCGAATAATAATAAAAAAAGAGAAAAATAAAACAGAGTTATTCTATAATCTCGCGGCTCAATCAATTCGAATCTTTTAACCTCGTTCTGAACGCTCGTTTTCTGAAATACTGAGTTAAAATTTTGATTCTACTTTCAATATTCTATTTAATGCCTCTATTTTAATACTCTGAAAAACCTATATATCAACCTTTGTTTTCTAAAAAATCTATATTAATATCTTTGCTTCCATTTAACTTATTAGCTCTGCCGACAAGTTCTCTTTAGAACTTGTACGTGACACTTTGTGTCTTCTATTATTTAGAGGTGCTAAGTATACTGAGAAAATATGTAACTATATAACCACATAAAGAAATAATCATTATAAAATATATTATCAAGAAAACAATTTTTTGTATTAAGACTTGCTATAATTTTAGTGATAATAGTCTTATGTGTATGTTACTACTACTATTTTCGTATTAGAACAAAAATATATATATGTTTAGGGTATAATAAAATATTAATAATAAATAAATCAGAAATAAGTATAATTTTAATTAGATCAACTATTTTTTTCTGAAGGTAAGATCTTCTTATTTGTATTTATTTTTTTCTCAGTGTACGATTCCAGTTTCCATGTATATTACACATCCCTCCGAATAGACAAATATTAGAAATTGCAAGTTCAAAGTAGGATTTAAATCTCGTCTCCGACTATCTCAGGGCTATCGAAAAATCTCTTTTCGAAATCAAAAGTAATTCACGTCTTGTTATCGAAACGTCTTGTTATGGTCATGATCGGTCTAAAGTTCTTATCCCTTCTCGCGTTTTCCATGGAAGAAAAGACGTGCGGATCCGGAACGAACAGCCGCGCCTAAAGACGTAATTATTAGTCGAATATTCCCCTGCGACAAGAGACAAAAATTCCAAGTGCGCCCCACCTCTAAAAATATTGAAGACGCGTGTGCGCGCGATGAAAAAATAGAGACGGGCGGGTGAGGAATATACGGGCGGCGCTTCTCGTTACACACGAGGGTCGACCCTCCTGAAATTTGTTTACTACGCGAGGGACACCGGTGCCTGGGCTAAATATAGCCGTAAGGAGGGAGAAACCGCGAAAACGCTATTTTTATGAGCACGCGCCGCGCGAACATTGTTGTGCCCGATCGGCCGTAGTGCCGTCGACGATGTGCCGCGGCCGGGTCGTCATCGTTGATATTGTCGCGATCACCGTCATCGTCACACTCGTCCGTAAAGATCGAATGAAAATGAGCGCGGGAATGTGGTCGAAGCTCACGGTAATTTTACTGCCAAGAGAGAGAGAGAGAGAGAGAGAGAGAAAGAAAGAGATACCCTTGAGACAGAGGACGGAATATACGTGAAAAAGACGACAATAATTAGATCAATTTTGTATATCTCAAACGTACCAATGCATGATTAAAGATTAATACTCCGATAATTATCATTGCATATCTTTCATTCACGTAAAGATACAGAGAGAGAAATTTATAAAAGTTATGTATCGTTCGAAAAAAGATGCAATTATTTCGTTAATTGCACATCGGAAAGCGTCGGTCCAAGGGCGATTCTCAACAGTAGAGCCGCGAATCTCGAGTTTACTCTCGCTCGTTAATCACTCGGGAACTGTATAAGCGACTCGCCGTTTCTGTCGAAGGAATGCCTATTCTGCGAATCGCGGCCGAAGAATTTCGCGGCGGACACGGACACGGCGGTTCCTTAGGTCGCCCTGTATATCGCCCGAATAGTGAATAACCTGCTGGTGACGGAGGGTCGGCATGGTAGGGATCTCGTGGAAGACGAGAACACGCCAGCAGTCTGCCGCTTCTGCTTGGCGCACTCGTCTAATGCGAAATCCGTGTACGCGGCTCTCGCTGATAACGATTGCAGGCTCTCCCCGCTGTCGGTTGTCGCGCGGGCACGCTCGCCGCGTTGCGGCACGCGGCCGATTGATCTTATCCAACGTGAGATCACGCGCGCGAATACGTATCCCGCCGTACAAAACGCGGAATACCTGCTAATTATAGTCCCGTAGCCGAAGGAAGGAAACCGCGGAGGCACTATTTTTACGACTCTCCCGCCAAAATATCGTCGCGCGTCTGCCACGCGCTTCTCTCTCTCTCTCTCTCTCTCTCTCTCTCTCTCTCTCCCTTCCCTCTCCCCTTTTCCACCCCTCTCTCTCTCTCTCGACGGGACAGACGTTCACCTTTGTGTTACGTGACGCGTTTTATCCGTTCACCCGTTGCTGCGGCGGATAATTAAAGTAACTTAATTTAGAATGCGAGGTATGATAGGAGACAGGGAGAAGAAGCGCGAGGGATAACTAATTATTCAGCTCGCTATTCACGGAGAGAAGCGTCTGGCGATTCATAATGGTACACGGAAAAAATTTCATTTCAACAATATTCAACAACTTGAACTTTTCTCGATATCTTGAACGATATCGCTCAGCCATTTGTATCAACTTTTTTTCATAGCTTGTATTAATATCGATGGACAGATATTTTCGAATAATCTATACACGATCGCCAGGGATTTCAAACAATTCGCCATTCAATTGTACAGATGAAGGTAAACTCAAGTAATTTATTTATCCATAGGAGAGAGCCGCAGTCTCTATTTCCCAAGTAAATTCGCAGAAATGCCGAAGGATCTCATTCTAAATAAAACATCCCCGTAACTTTTTAACTACGATCATCTGATCTAACGACGATCCCACTAAAATAAGAACTGTAGGATCACGTGGTATGTAATGAAAAATCGATCGTATTTCTAAGAAAACGGGATTTTAGGTTAGCTTAGTGCACGTGTCTCTTGCACATTATTGTTGCAACGACGGCCGCTCATTAAATCTACCGTGTCGCGTGCGGTTACGTGAAAGCCTCGCGATTTCTGCGAGATTAATATGTGACGATCCCGGCGCTATGATGTGCGTAGCAAGCAGATGAAAGAGGGAAAGAGAAAGATAGAGAAAGAGAGAGAGAGAGAGAGAGAGAGAGAGAGAGAGAGAGAGAGAGAGAGAGACCGAGAAATAAACTGAGACACGGGCAGACGACGCGTGAGTGCACGCGTGCGACCCCGCTACGAGGTGGTCGCATAACTCTCACAAAATGCGAAGTAAAGACGCGATAAAGAGCCGGTCTCGCTGCGATCGGGCGTGCGTGCGAGCATGCGTGCGTGCGTGCGTGCGTACGTGCATACGTGCGAGCGAGCGAGCGAGCAAGCAAGCAAACGAACGAACGAACGAACGAACGAACGAACGAACGAACGAGCCAGCAAGCGAGCGAGCCCACAAGCGGGAATTCGCTGTTTTCGCGGCAAAAATGCGTGCGTGGCACGCGCGCGCTGACGTTCTATTTTCGAATGAAACACACGATCAGGGGACACGAACGAGAGACTAATGTAGAAACTGCGAGAGGGGAAGAAAAAGCCGCTAGGAAGGAGACGGAGCGAGAACCCTCCTCGCGGAACAAGGAGAGAAAGAGAGACTTTATTTGTGCTCCGGCGAGCGATACACGGGAGAGAAAGAGAGAGAGCGAACGAGGGAGAGATGGTTGAAAAGAGAGAAAGACGCGGCACTGAGAGAGATGTAAGACAGAGAGAGAGAGAGAGAGAGAGGGGAGGGAGATAGAGGGAAGAACGAGAGACAGAGAGACAAGCCGCGAAGGGAACTGAATGGAGAGAAGAAGAAGGAGAATAGGGAGCGAGAGAGAAGAAGAGAGAAGTAAAGAGAGAAAGGGAGAGGGAGAGAGAGAGAAATAGATAGATAGATAGATAGATAGATAGATAGAAAGAGAGAGAGAGAGAGAGAGAGAG